AAGAAGTACTATTTCCTAATGGACCCCTCTAAGGTTATTGAAAATTATGAAAACCATTATGAGAATAAAGTAATTACATATAAAGCTATGTTTTAATTTTAAATGGTGTCATTCAACTAAGAAAGATCAACACATTAGAACATTAGCATTTCCATGTTTCTTTTCCTCTTTCCTCCCTCATGTCTAATTTTTTCTTAGGATTATTATTATTTTTAGATTATCAAGTTGTATAATTCATATTCATTCTGTTACTATCATTCCCAAATATTTTTAAACATATATGGATTTTTCTCATCCCTGGATCTTTTACCAGAGTCTCTGCTTCTGGGCTCTTCATTTGATTCAGCTTTTTATTATCTTGATATCACTTTTCAAGTAGTTTGGTTGTGATTGGTACTATATTCCCTGAGATCCTTCATGTTTGGAAATATTTGCTGGCTGTGTTTATATTTGCAGAGCATTTTAATTATGCATAATATTTTCAAGTCACCCTTCCTTTCAGGACTACACAAACACTGATTGACTATGTTTTGCCATCCTTGCATGATTCTGTGGAGAAGTGTGAAGCAGCCTGATTTCCTCACTTGCTGCTAAGTTGCATTTTCTGTAGTTATGACTGAACAATTATTGCTATATCTTTAGGTTCAGAAAGCTTAATTAAAGTTCCTAGGCAGTGAGAATTCTGCATCAAATTACCCTGGAGCATAGTTTGCTCTTTCATTGTATAGATTCCATTTTTCCTCAATGAGGTAAAATTTTCTTATATTATGCTATGGATTTTTCTTCCATTTCATTTTTTGGGTTCTCTATTTTAAATATACTAATTATCCTTATGTTGTGCATTCTTGTCTTCCATAACTGCGAAATTCTCTCTAAATAACTTACTCTCTTAATCTTTTCCATTAGTATTTATCTCAAGCTTTTCTTCCATGTCATTAATTTTCTTTTTTAGCAGTATCTATTCTGTTTCTTACAATTTATAATTTATTTTTAGATCCATAATGATGTGATTTGATCCTCAGTGTGTGCCTTTAGGTGTGTGATCTCCTAAGAGACTGTGAGAAAATTCTTTATGGTCCTTAATTTTGTTTTCTTCTATGTATTATTTTTTTTCATATTTCCTCCCCTCTCTCTTTCTCTTTCTCTCTGCTCTCCCTCCCTCTTTCCCCTCACTGCTTTATTTTTAAATGTCTGCTCATACTTGCATAAAACTCTTCTCCAAGTGCTCCATTTGTTCTAATACAGTATAGGTGACACTTCCCAATTTAAGAATGGCTTGATTTGTCCTCTGAGCTACAGTCCGAGGCCAATGCATTTCATTCTATCTACTGTTTAGAACCCTGAGAAAGGCTGGAGCAGGGGAATGAGTTCACCTGAAGAGATGGCGTTCTCTGTAGTATACCTGGGACCTGCTCTGTCTTTTAATATTCTGCTGAATTTCTCATTCCAGAATGCACTCCACCTAGTTGAAGCTGTATTTCATTCCTACAGGGTGATAACCCCCAGGCTTTGTATCATTTCCCCGTTCTGGAGTAGTCCCAGAATCTACTTCATTAGGGGTGCAGACCCTTTTCACCCATTTCCCCATAGCAGTTATTCTCACTAATCTGATCAGAACAAGAAAAAGATCAGCATTTCAGTTCAGTCTGTTTCTTTGCAGCTTTTGAAATACAAATGGGAACTCTCAGGATTTTGTTGACTTGACAGTGGCTTCTGCAGAACTGGTGGCTAGGGTTAGGAGTTGAGTTATGCTGCCTCTGTGCTCCACTACACAGTCCTCCTTTTTTTCTTGGAACTAGGCTTTGAAGTTCACTGAATTATGTTATGCCATGAGGTTGCTAATAGTGGCTTTTTTGGTGGGGTGAGGGCTGGTTTTACAGTTTTCCAAAATTGTAGGTATTATGGGAAGACAGTTTAATGCAACCTTAATGAAGTTGAATAACACTCCATCCAAAGTTCAGGGTTCATATTGTCTCCTTGCCTACCAATGATGCAAGACCAAGACATTTCATTCTGTCACTGTCCAACCTCAGAGTTCATGATAGGGTCTTAAAACAGTCAACTGTGGCATGAAAAAGGACCAGCATGCCCTTGAAGTGGCCCCCAAACATATTCTGTTGTCTAGGGAGGAGATACTACTTTAACCCTTTACATCTGTCACTAAAGACCTCTCTCTTTCAGTATCTGGCTCCCCAGAAATCAATGTTCTATTTAGAAAACAGTAGCTAATCTGGCCAAATGCTAATAAGTGGGAGTTGTGATTTGTCTAGCAACAGGGGAGCAGTTCAGCATTAACAATTAAAAGGTCTGTAGAGGAGAGAGCTTTTTTTTTCTTATTCTTCCCATTACCTGATTAGGTTCAACTGTATACTATAAATAGCCCTTCTAGTTAATGGCTATCTGTTTGAAAATCAGTCATCAGAACCATAGTTTAGGAACTTCCACCTGTGTGATTCACAGGCCCTACTTATTTCTCAGTGATAAGTACAGGGAAATGGTAATGTGAATTAAAGTTGCATCTACCTGTCTACAAAGACCAAACCACACCATAGCCTACCAAAGCACTCTTCAGGCCTCATTATAATAGATTCAGACTTAAATAATCAATTCAATTGCATGGAGAAGTGCTGATCATGAATAGTTCCAAAATAGTTGGCTAAACCCTGCTGCCCACCCCCTCCAGTCATTTCATGGAGTTACAGGATAAAGTCAAAGTTTACATCAAAGGCAATTTACATGAATTTACAATTAGCTGAAAAGGTCTTTCAGAAATCTCCAAAGAATTACTTTTTTTCTACATTAAACAAATCAAGTGGGTAGTTACCTTCACTTTAACCTGACTACACAGAGAAGAAAAATGGTATGCCCAGATCAAGTTGAATGGTGAGCTTCCAGAGAATATTTTCCAGAAGGACCCTTTTAGGGAAATGTCACCCAGTGCTGGAGTAACTCCCATATTTCAGTGGAGGGTTTGCCATTCAGAGTAAAAGATGCTTGCACATCTTCTGTGTTTTCTTCTCATATTTTCTATTTCATCCCATTTTGCCTACTTACATGATATCCATGAAGAACTCCTAACCCGTCCTTGAACCTGCCATATTGTTTCATGACACTCAGCATTTATTCAAACTGTTTCCACTACATAGATAGCTTTTTCTGGCCTTCAGCCCCTCAAGACCTGGCTTTCATGTCATTTCCTCTATTCAGACCCCCCGCACCACCACCACCACCGTCCAACCTCATAAAACTATTTTTTGCCTCCTTTGAGCCCCCCTCTACCTGTACATCTTTCTGTCCCGATACCAGTAACCTTTGCTTTCACTTAATTGGTTTCGTGTCCATTTCTCCCCAGCTAGAAGGTCTTATTCTTGTTCAGATGTACAATGCCTATATGCTTATTGAATATTCAAGTGATTATTCAACAACTATTGTACCTGCTCTTTGCCAATGCTTGCTGGAAGTCAGAAAGATTTTTGTCTCTGTTCTCAATGAACCTATGACCCAGTGGGCAGGACAGATTCTTATACAACTAAGCCTAGCCTAAGACCAGGGTCTGGGCAACTGCTGAGGCTGAGCTGTTAATTGGCAAGGCAGTGAACTTGGAGCCATCATTTTGTTAATGCCTCTTCTATGGTTTTCATAATCCTAACACACTGCTTCAATTATATGTTTCACAATTCTCACTAATGTCTTCTCAGCACAATCTACATCTATGCCGCTCAAACTAATGTACACACAAATCACCTGGGGATTTGTTAAGCTGCGGACTGAGATTCAGGTGCCTGAGGTGCTGCATTTCTAACAAGCTCCTAGGGGATGACACTGCTGCTGGTCCACAGACCACACTTTGAGGAACAAGGCTCTAACATGTCAACATATGTTGTCATGTCAACATATGAACATAGTTTAAATGGTACCAGTTTTTGGAAGAACTTCCACTGTTCCCCTTCTATATATTCTTCTGACTTAAACATGATGAAAGTTACATCAAGAGAGGTAAGATTCAGTAGTGCCACCAAAAATATAGACAGGGTCCTTGAAATTGTTACTTCCTGGTCTTTGTTTTATTTTAAACACAAAAGGTGTTTAAAAGCAAATATTGGCAAAGAGGAGGTGTTCAATAGTTGTTGAATCATCACTCACATATTTAATAAGTGGACGGGCACTGTTCCTGCACCTGAGGCCCGCTGCTACCAATGACTGTGGTCTGAATGTGTAGCAAGCTTTTCTCAAATACTCAAGATTGCCATTTGTTCCTTATGTCTCCCCTATACTTATACTGCAATACCCCAAGCTCTTTCTGTAAATGGAAATATCTTTCAGCAAAACTGTAATAGTGCAATCACCTTAAAAATCACTAAGAAAATACTTCTTTAATGCAGACTTAGTCCCTAAGCAAACTTTGTAAGGTAGCCATGGGAATCTAATTTCTTATTAACTCTTAATTCCTATGGCAGCATCACCTTACTTATGCAATTCGCTAAAGTCCGCCGCCCATCATCGAAGTCAAAACTCATTAGACCATGAGACTCTGGGTTCCCACACTACCTATACATCTGTTATCATTCGTCAGTTTTGAATTCTCCTTTGAAAAAGACGCCTGCCTGATTCCTACTCCAGCTATTGCTTTTGTTAATCATCTTCCTCCCTTCCTATCATCGTTTTCCAGCACTATTCCAACCAGACCACGTGCCTTATGCGTATCTTCTCCTAAGAATGTGGAGAAGACGTTACAACTCTTCCTGTCTGCCATGCAACACTGCCTTACCCCAATAATATGCTGCTTGAGAGGCTGTCTCAGATATGTGGTTTCCTTTACACACTTAGTTATTGCATCACTTTCCTTGACAACATAAAGTGAATTGAGCAGCACTGGAACTGTTTCCATTGTGCAGGACACTTGGAAGGTAGTGGAACCCTTAGCTTGCCCAGCGTTGGAGTCTGGAGAGGACTCTTGCAAATGATCTTTCTTCCTTCCCACTACTCATGGTCTCATTTAGATTAATGCCAAAGATGACGAAGGTGTCCTCGTGGGATCCTGGGACAATATCTATCCCTATGGCATCCCCCCATCAGCCTGGACTGGAAGTGTTGACATTCTGTTGGAATACCAGAGTTCTAAGAATCCGGTCCGATATGGTCAGTGCTGGGTTTTTGCTGGTGTCTTTAACACATGTAAGTATTCAACTGAGTAATATTTTTTTAATGTAAAGGAAATTTCACTTTAAGACATTTTATCTATAGCCAGACAAAGAGACCTAGGAACCTTGGTTGGCTCTATAGAATTTATGGGTGGCTATTCTGGGATGTAGCCAATGCATAATTATATTGTACTGGGTTAAATATGTTCATAGTTTCTCTTTGAGTGCAGAATCTTTATAGAAAGAATGGTGGATTATTTCCTACCTAATTAATTATTCAACACCCAGGGAAATGGAGGGTCTCAGGAGCCAAGTATGACTGTGGGAAGGATTTACCATTTTCTTTTCAATATCTCTTCACATTTTAAAAAGTTTTAATTAGCAAAATTTAAAATAATAAATAATGAGATATATGCTGTTTATTTGTTATTGAGAGGTTTTATAAATACACTTACTGGCTTATTGCTTATTATTGAGAAGTTTCATAAATATAGCCACTTAATTTTCACCCTAACTATGGAAGGGATTGTGGCAGTTCTCATCTCCACTTTTACATGTGAGCAGTGCCCTGCCAAATTAGATGGCAGGATGTAATGTACAGTCTTTACTCCCCAGTTTCCCTTCTGGTTTTTAATCCACCCAATATCCAATTCGTAGGGGAAAACATATGGGAACAGAATTATTCTTCTCAGCTCATGCATCATTTTTCAAAATGGCATTTGCCTGCCTAAGCCCAGACAGTGTAATCGTTAATTCAGTGAATATTTTTAAAAATATATTTATTTCAGTATATCTTCATCATTGGTAATGATTTTCATTAACATGCCATTTCTAAAGCCTTGGAGAAAACATTAAGCTCAAGTTGGAGTGTCCTCTCTGCTTGCTCATTAATAAAGAATGTTTTACCTAATCAGCATTTTTTTCTTTTAATCAGAAAAATCAAGGAGGGGATGGAGGCTGGAAGCTGGGCTGAGGCCATTTTATAAATGATTATGAAGCCTATCAGTTTCATCTCAAAGTTGCAACAGTTCAAGAATTAGTTGGTGATCCAAGTAGGAAGAAATCATGAGTTTTATGTTTTGTTTCTCCATGGCATCAAACTAAATGAGATTATTTTCTTAGCTGAGGGCTAAAGGAATATCTATTTCCTAGGAACAATAAAGACCCATGCATTGGTCTCCTAAATGTGTTGGTCTTGGAGTTCTAAAAAGAAGCCTGAGCTTCAAGGGGGGCTAATGATCAGAGGTACACCTCCCTTCCTCGTGGTCCCCAAGCCAAAACTATGTAAAGGGTGCCCAGCAGAGGCAGCCACTCATATGACATGATTCCAGGAAAACAGAAAGGACCTTCTGCATCCCCATATCCTCCTGCTGCCTGTAATCCCACTACCTCAGGACAGTTCTTTTGGGCTTAGAACCAGATAAAATAGTGAACACCGTACTCCATTCATGCCTTTTGTGTAAACGGGTTGTTAGATCTATTCCTGAAAACAGGTTTTGGTGGTAAGCTAGGAAAAAGCAGAAGCACAATGTGGGGAAGTCACAGGGGAAATAAACCCGAAGAGAGAAGTTGGAAAGAAGGAGGTACTGGTGGCCCAGTGTCAGGCTTTACCGATATTAACATTGTGAGCTTGGCAGACTCTGCAACAAGTCCTTTTCTGTGAGTTAGTGTTAAGCCAGAAATAGAACTCGAGTGCCAGCCATTTTACTGGTAAAACTGTGGCATGAGTAGGGTCTAAAGGAAGACAGAAGTGGGAGGCAGGTGGTGGTTGCCTTTGCTATTCTTTGCGGTGCGAAGGTTAAGTCATTTAATGAGGACACTTTAGTATCTGACTCAAATTTGGACTTCCAAGGTTGTTCTACTGAAGGAGGTAGATAGGCTTTAGTTAAAAGTCCTAACCTATTTGGAGGGGAAGAAAAAGACAAGCCAAGTCATTCATCTTAAAATTGTCAGCTGAATTATTTTCAATGAGCCATGATGTCTAGTGTTCTGGGAACCAGGAAGGGCATCTGGATTAAGTTTAATCAATAGGTACATATGGCAAAAGATGTTTGCAGGTAATTTGTTATCTAACAATTAAAATAAATCTGTGGTGTCACCTTCCACCAAGTGTCACAAAAGCAAATTTCCGCCAGGAGAACAAATCCCACTGAGGACCTGCTTTCTAAATTCTTAACTTCCTATCCACTGTTTTTTAATGTAATTTTCAGGAACATAGTCCCAGGAGCTGGCCTAAAATAATGCTGCTTTGATAATGTAGGATTAGTACCTAAACCCTTGGAACCCTGTTATTGGGATTCTATTGCAGTGGGCTTCCTTTGTCCCCAGCACAGTCTGAGTGACCGGGCAGTGCCCACTGCTTGACGATAGTCCCCCTTCTTCAATATGGAACATTTGAGGACAACATGCACAAAGGGGCTTTTCATGTTGAAAAATAAGAAAGCCCTGTATAAGAAAGGACTTTCGCTATGTCTTTATTAAATTTTGGTGATGTGTTTAGTTGTGGTCTGTCTTCTTTCCTGCAGTTTTACGATGCCTTGGGATACCGGCAAGAGTGGTTACCAATTATTTCTCAGCCCATGATAATGATGCCAACTTGCAAATGGACATCTTCCTGGAAGAAGATGGGAACGTGAACTCCAAACTCACCAAGGATTCAGTGTGGTGAGTTTGATTTACAAAGGCATTTGCTGATATCGAATTAAAGTGACATTAGACATTTACGCAAATCAAGCTCAGTCTCATGTCTCTTTCTCTTCTATTTTAAGGACTGTTTGATACCATAGACAGAAATGTTTGATTATCAGAGATTTTTTTGTTGGATAATGAATGAGAAATGCTACTGAATAAGCAGTTGGAGTTCCTAGTAACAAAGATTGATCATACCATTACTATAGTAACAACCAAAGAAGGCCATAGTTTTTCAGCTAGAGTCTATACTAGTCCCTCTCTGCCTTAGTATATGAATATTATGCTGAATGGCAGAGATATGGGAGCCAAGCATTTTCTATATCAATACTCTAAGACTAATATAGCTAACATTTATTAAGCACTATGTACCAGTCCCTGTGTGTGCATGATCTTATCTAATTCTTTTAACAGTTTTATCAGGTGGGGTGCTTATTAATATCTCCATTAATTTATGGGGAGACTGAGTTCTGACAGGGTTAAAGTAATTTGCTCAAGGTCACGAATCTGGTAAGCTGAGAATAAAACCCACGTGCCTCTAACCATTAATCACAATGCATTTTTGCCTTTGCAACATACGATTGATGTAAACATAACATTGATTGAATGTTAAGATGTGGTTCTCCTTGATCTGTGAGCTCATCTTTCATTCAGAAATAGAAATGGGAGTAAAGTTGAAATTACTACCAAATGCCAACCACATGGTTCTTTCACTGCCCTGAACAGCTGACTCATAAGCTGACTACAGGAAGCTTAAGAGCCCAAAGAAATTGTCTTTTTCTCTGTGACCCACTCAGTCCAAAACAATATTCAAAAAAGGGGAGAAGTCCTTGGAGTCCAAATTTACAGGATATTTATGAAGGTCTGTATGGGAGGAAATTACTAGGCATTGAACTAGATGGAATTTCCAAGCCAACAATGTGTCTCCTACAATTGTTCTTTATAGGTAATAAAGCTAACACACTGTCAGTTGTGAAAGCATCCAAATGGGGATGGTTGGAAGTTACAAAGTCATTTTAAGAGAAATTAAAAGTTAGAAGTGCCTTAACTCCCCTGCGTTACAGGAATGGATCACAGTTGTAGGAGCAGTATTAACTCACCAACGCTGGTAAATGCTCATTTGAGAATGTTGAAAGAAGGAAATCACTGAACTAGTAGCAAAAGTGCTACTATGAATAAAAAATAGTACAGTTGCTTTGAAGGGAATGAGCTAAGCAATGCTAAGCTAGAGAGTACAGGCAAGACAAAGCCTCACCTCTGTAAACTGAACAGCAATTTAAAGCATCATTAAACCCTTGGAATTACAGTACAGCATCCCTGCACGTACATGGAACAACAAAAACAGACCAAAAAGCCGTCCCCAGAGCCTGTTGTGACAGTCGCAAATAGCAAAATGGGAATTATTAGGCATTCTGCACTGCACTCGTCTTCCTTGCAGAAACACTCGGTGCCTTTGTAGCCAACTGCAGTTCGAAATTATTCCTCCCTATTCGTAGATCCGAATGCCTTCCATCAGAAATTCCCATGGAGCACCCCTCACAAATAACCGCATGAGACCCTGAACAAAATGCATACAAAATCGTGATGCTGATAGCTCTTGCCCTCGATAACCCTTTCCTCTTTCAACTCCCTGCTCCAGATTCCCTTCCCTGGCCCTGTCATCCTTTTTCCTTCCTTCTCCTTCCCAAATATCCAGCACCCTGGGACTGTGCTTCGTGGCCTGGAGCCCCCTCCACCCTCCACAGCCAGACCACAACTCTGTGCTCCTCTCCATTTCCTTTCTTGGCACATGTTTTTTTCAAAATATGACAGCTTCCCATCCGACTAAAGCTTCAAGGGCTCAGTCAAGTCTGGGTGTGAGGCCTGGCTCTGCCGCAGACGGCTGTGTGACCTTGGGCAAGGCACAACCTCTGTGTGCCCCTCTTTCCTCCTCTAAAGTGGAGACGACAAAATTTCTTATTTCACTCAGCTCAGAGCTGAACATAACAGGTGCCTAATGAATGTTAGCTGTTCTTATTGCCGTCATTATTAGTCACACAGCTGGAATTTCTTGGAGACAATATGTTGCCATCAACCTAAGCACATTGAAGTAGTCAGAAAAGGAGAGGTGCTCAGTGTCCCAAGATGACAGTGCTTTTTCCATCATTTTGAGGTATTTTTTAAGCAAAAACAGAAACTTATGCCTCATAGAGCAAACATTAGTGGGCCTCAGAAGCTATAGATGTTTCAGAAAACTGGAAGTATTTCTAAGACCCTCCTTGTTTGAGAAGGCTGGTAGGAGCTGTCCCTGGACAAACCCACCAGTACATGGTTACCACAGCCACACCCCCATGGCAAGTTCTGGCTTTGGGCAGTTACTTGCTGTGTGACCTTCAGAAAATGACATCACCTCTCTGAGCTTCAGTTTCTTCTTCAACGGAATGAGAGTAATCTTAGTAGTTACCATATTCTGATGGAGCGCTGTGACAATTAAATGAGATGATCCAGGTAAATTACTCACCACAGTGCTAGGCCCAGAGGGAGTGCTCAATCAGTGCCTGCTAATTGGACTAGTAATGGCTCCTGGTAAGAAGTAGGGCTGCCTGAGCTGTAGGGGGGGCAAGCAAGGGAGGGGGGTGGGCAGAAGACTGACAGGCTGAGATGAGGACAGGAGGGACATGGTGAGCATCAGCTCATCGCTGAGAGGCCAGAGCCGCATGCCTGGCAATACCTGGCCTAATGAATTTCCCAGGGGTCTCAGGAGCACCTGGCCTCACCCAAGCCCCCAGACTCATTCCCCTCCACAGGCTCCAGTCTGACACGTCTGCCCCAACTCCCTGCTGGTTCGCACTGGCCGCTGCCCTCTTTGCCCTGCCCCTGTCCTCTCTTTCTAAAGGAAACTTGAGAATGAATCCTTGGTGTCTCTCTTGTGCCTCCACCATCTCTTCGGCACTGAGGCCCTGATGGTATATCTGTGCTGAATTAATTTGTCCAGCGGGGTCTCCTCCTCCCCATGACTGAGCCCAAAGTGGAAATAAGCCACTGTGGAGGGTTGAGAGGGAGGGCACGAGAATGCGTCCAGATGTACCTGATGTTCAGCACACCCCAAAGGCAAGAAAGGCGAAGTTCGGACGTCATCCCGGGCTCTGACCCATCTCCATTTACCGCCACAGACCATCACTCACTCCTTACTTGCCTCTCCCGGTTCACCACTGTAGGGCCCTGCACGGTGGCCTGCCCCTCCGAGAGTGCGTCCCCTCTCACGGGGCAGCAGTTTTGCACAGGGTGGACACTGTTGATGCCACCAGAGGGAAGAGCCAGCTTCTTAGTGATACAGGAGAGGGAGGGGCCCAGGAACCTCAGAAGGTCACAGCTGGGCAGAGTAATTGGGCCTCAGGACAGCAAATGAAATTCCAAGTGGTTCCACCCAAGGTAGCATATCCTAGAGGGAGCAATTTAAGCCACCTGTCCCCGGGGTGCTGATGGGTTTTGAATCATGTCTAACCTCTGGGGGAAGGCGTCAATGAATCACTGCGGACAGTTTAATGAAGACACTTTCTCAATGTTTAGCTGCTGTCCACACAGTGAATGGGGATGTAGGGCTCTTTGTCAGGGGGTAGGGGGAAGTTGGCTCACTCAGGTGCAAAGGTTTGGGTTCACCTTGAAAGAGCTTTTTGATTTCCTCATTATACCATGATTATAGTGGAAATGGAAACCATTTTAAAAGAAAGGGATGGTGGCACTTATTAGGGTCATGAAAAGGATTTAAATGAAAGGCACTTCTCCCTTTAAATGTAAGCATTATCCTGCGTCCTTTTTCTGGAGAAGGTATAGTCAGACTTCATTATTTAGGATGAAAAACTATACCCACGTCTTGGCTTCACCCCCACCAGAATACAACCCCCAAAAGGAGAAACAATATCTGAGTTATTACTTTTGTTTTGCCACATGTAACAGGGTGCAGGGCATAGAGTAAGGGTTTAATAAATGGAATTGGTTGGAAACCATTTTAAATGTTTGTTTAACTGAATTAATGTCATTTAATTCATTGGACAAACACTATCATGCACTAATATGTTCAAAATACTAGATACTAAGGATTCAGACAGAAATTAATCAGAATCATTGTCCTTGAGGAACTCTATCCACGGTTTGTGGGTAAGGCAACCATATAAATAATATCAGGCGGGCTGTAATGTGAGCCACAGAGGCAAGGGGAAGGGGCTTCCCTCGTGGGCCCAGGGGAGCAAGGACAACGGCTGTTCGCGTGGGAAGTGGCCAGGGACTCCAAGACTTACCTCCTGCAATCCTCTGGCTGTGCTGTTCAAAGATGGAATGGCCAGGAAATGACCTTGCCAAACAGATGAAACTCAGGGACATGTTTGTGAAAGTCTAAGGGGCTGAGATGAGATAACTAGACATCTATCTGCTTTAAGGACCAGGCAGGAAGGAATGAAATTCCATGCATCCTGTATTAAGACTACAGTCATTGAATATTTAAACTTTAACTTTCATTATCCAGCCCCTTGCTGCTCCTTCCTGTATAACATCAAGAACAGCTGGCTCTTTGCCCACCTTCCTGGAGGGGCTAATGCCCCACGCTGTGCATTCACAAAGAGCAGATGGCGTTAATACTGTTTAGGGGCAGGGATGGCTTGCTGTTACCCATCTATCACCACTTCTCCCGGCATGGTCCAGCCCCAAGTACTGCCTCCTTTAAGACAACCCCAGCCCTCACTCTCTTAGTTTTAGATGGTCCAACAGTGAAGTGTTCCAGATTCTCTCTTGGAGGCAGTAGCTTCCTAGACCCCTTTTGTCCAACTTCTAAGTGCCTTCCTCATGAGCCCCTTTAAATCCTGGTCACATTCCCAGAGGAAATTGTTCATCTCTGAACAATAGGGTTCAATGTGGACTGAGCAGAATCATATGTTGTTCATACCCTCCGGATGTGAAGTGAAGGGGGGTGGGAAACCTATGTGCACACCAAGGTCCATGAA